TATATATATATAAACCTGCTCAGAATAAATTTACCTTTTCAAAAACATGTACAAACTATGAAAGAGGATTATGATCACTGTAAATAAAATTCTAACTTGTCTTTAATCTTATTCTGAGAAAAAATTTCCGAATGATGATGTTAATCTCAGAATTCCAGCATTCAAATGTCAGAATTCTGATTTAATCTCCAAATTCTGAGTGGGGGAAACAGTCAGAATTCTGAGATTAAAGTACAGTTCAGTTCAATTCAGCTTTATTCATATCCCAAAGGGAAAATGGTTTGCAGCAAGCATCATGCACACAAAAAAAACAACATCCCCAAAGAACATCAATTAATACCCCCCAATTTAAAAACGTTTACTTAAAAACTTTAACTTAATAAAAGAAAAGAAAAGAAAAGTCAGAATTTTCATATTTTTCTCAGTGGCCCTGATCCACTTTCGTAACAATAGTTGTCTTTTGATTGAAAAGCTGCAGGAAAAAGGATATTTTACATGCAGTGTCTTTATTTGACCGCTAGGTGTCAGCATCATTATCGATAAATACACACAATCAAACCCGAGCTCATCGTTTACAGGTTTACTAATCAATCATCGATCAAATTCATTCGCCATCCATCAGATTTAAGAGACTGGCTCAGAAAAGACAAGTTTCTCCTCTTTGCTTAATATTACCGAATTAAATTTTAATTGAAATGTCATTTATCACAATCTGAATAAAATCTTGTTGCAGTGCTAAAATCCCACTGGAGCTGATGAAAGTTAAACAACAGAAGTTAAATAACAGAAGTAAAACCTGACTATTAGGAGTAACAACTGACAACCAGGAGTAACAAAGTGTTTAAAGTCAGATGAGATATTTTTAATTCAGTCACAGATTATTGTAATGACTTCATGCCTATTGATGTTACAGTTTGTCCACCAGAAGGCAGTAGTGTCCTTTTTTCCCAGACAAGTTTTTGTTGTGCGTTTCTATGAATAATTTGCATACTATTGATCTGCTATAGTTTGAAATTGACTAACAAGTTTTATAGTGGTAGTTCAGATATTTTAAACTGGAGTTCTGCAGAAAAGTGCTGAATCATTAATATTTTTCTTGTTTGAACAACTTCAGTTTTGACAAATGGTGTTTAAACATTATGGCGCAAATTTGGAGCCATAAAGTTTGTTAACATTTTTTTCCTTTTAGTTGAAAGAAAAAAATGTAACCTAAAGAAATGATTTGAAACTTAAAAACAAATTTTAAACTAATAAAAAGTTCCAAACTATTTTCATCATGGACTTTGGTAGTATGGCATGCTGTTGTGTCATATAATCAAACCTCTAAGGCAGGCCATTGTATGATATGGCAGGCCGTTGAACCATATGAATTAGAAATAGCTGGCAGGTCATCATATCATATAGTTGATTGTATGGCAGGCCATGCTGTGAAAAAAATACAGTACTGTATTTTTCAGTTTCAAATTTTTTTCACTATGTA